TCATTGTGTCGAAATACTGAAGGAGAAGGAAAACGAATAAACTTGCGCTCTCGTAGTCTCCACTGAGACCAACACAAGGAATCACACTATTTCGCAACAGTTCAGTGAATTTCAGACTCACAATCGAACATTATCGGTGTGTATACAGGTATGTGAACGTGACTAGCAAGCTGCATATTGAGGACTGCTCACAAGTAACGCCTAACTCAGACGGATACGCACTGTCGGACCAATGGTTACAATAAGTCAAGAAGCACTTCGTGTTACGATTGGATTCTGTTTGAGGTTCATATTAGCCCAGTACATCCATCATCAATAATTACTACGGTGACTGACCTAGTTTTTCTGGTGACTCGAATGAGATCACCTATGCGAACCGAAATGCGAGTTTCATCCGGGTACGGAGTGTCAATGGCTGTGCGGCAACCGAAACTGCAGCACGGATAACACTGACCATTATAGGCACGCACAACTTTGAATTCACGCCGAGTTTGTTCCTTCAAATGTTTCTGACGAATTTGTTCAACCTATAATTCGGATAAAAACAATGCAATGAACAAAAGAAAAAATGTGAAAGCTAATTGTGAGTATTGTGAATGTGAAAAGTTTGGAAGCATTGTGGATTAAACTAATTCCTGTAATTTTTACAACAGGATCTATCACCGTTCTGGTAAATCGGTAAAATGACGGATGCACAGCATTCAGTTGGAACCTGTTCCTTTTCCCACACTGGGACCAGGAGTTTTGTTAACCCCAAAACCAATGCCGACTCTCCATGCTGAAAAGCCGATCGGTAGAGCCCATCCCGGCCGGACTGAGTGATTTCCCGGGCAGTATTCAGTTCTGATGGAAGACTGATATCAGCTGGTCGTATTCGCCCGGTTGAAGCAAGAATTGTGAGATCAAGTTTAGACCTGCCACGCAAGGTCGGGTTTGGCTTTAGTGTACTATTTGACAGTGCATTTGAATTCGGCCGTGCCATTTAGCTAAAAATCATATTTACACCTTTTTGTGAATTTACTCATCAATTGCATCGTGATTAATTTCAAGGAAACCATAAGCTATCCTGCACGTACATGTTTATGAAATCTTAATGTGCTATCGTGCGAACCGCGAATTTTGTGAACTAGGCCAACGAAGTGAGACAGGTTCAAGATGATTATCAAAACACAAGGAGGCGGAGGAAGAAAACATCAATCAAGTTGGCAAGTCGGTCTCAGGCAGTGTAGGAGCGATGAAATGCAAATTCCTCTCATTTTAACAAGCAACATTCGTTCTCAATTAGGAAAAATGGACGATGTAGCAGACACGACATGAAAAAAGGAGTGCAAAAGCATTGTGATGATTATGCTATAAGAATCTTGGTTTCACGAAGAAATTCCCAGTACAATTGTACATATGGATGGATATAACCTTTTTCGGGTTGACCGTCCCACGAGTGCCCGTAAACGAGGCAGAGGTGTTGCAAGTTATGCTGAAAACAACTGCCGCCATCTACGAATACTCAACGGGTAAAATAAGTTTACACGTCATTGAATGTAACCCTCGTCTTTTCGTTCCATACCTCCTGGAAACATTTGCCTGCCACCCACAATATCAACGTTTGACATCATAAGGTTTTCTGATATTTTCTCTACCTCCATCATAGCACAAACAGGCGACTCTTTGTGTATATCTGATTTTATTAAACATATAAACTTCCTCACCACACTGTCTACAAAATTTGGTACATTTTTCTACCAGACTCGATGCATAATTAGATTTGTTTTGTACAAACAGACCGCAACATTGCGAAGTCTAGAAACGGGCTCCTCTGAGTAGTTCGGATCATTATATTTTATAAGTGTGTCCAATTGTATGCTGCAAAACCAAACGGTATACGTTTTCAAGAAGACCATCCAAGATAATGAGTCAAAGGAGTTGTTCATAGGGGAACCTAGAAAGACTAAGATCCCTGATTTCTGTCACATATTTTTTCGGTGTTCCCAGATCAGAACCCTTTTGTCCTTTGTCAACCCGTTATTGACTACCCTAAGTTTTGCTTTAACCAGTGTTGCCCACTCGAAGCGGTCTTCATTCTTAAAGACAGATATGCATCATTTTCACTAAAACGCTACACAGACGGAGAAGACGGTTCACGTGCCAGAAAGACAAGAAATCCTCTACTCGTCCGGTTGCTTCTAATGTTCTGCAATATGTAATTCTTCCCCGTTTTTTTTTCTTTTCAACGTATGTCAAACAATTTCTCATTCCTTCGACAATCTTTGGTTGTGAATACGCAATGTTGTTTTAGACTGCAAAGCACCCGCCCATGAAGAGGCTTCGGAAATTCGAGGCAAGCCAAACGGTGTTGCTGGCTGATCCTTATCCCGTTCCCTACCATCAAATGCCTCAAAATGCCAGGATGTTGTCCCTGTTAACCGACGATCAATATTCAGCCCTTAAAAATAGGTTTCTCACCCTTTCTACCACTCATGAACCCAACAGTGGCAAAATACCTTGTCGTCGCATTACCACACAATTTATCATGTTCAAAACACATAGTGTAAAGTTAGAAACCTTTCATATTTCTCAGTCCGATTAAGAATACTTTCTATCAACCGTAAGTTGATTGTTAGGTTAGTAAATGCATGTATGCTTTCCACTGGTTCTACCGCTCACCGGTGATTTTCACTGGTATGTTGAAGAAAAACTTTTATTTACTGGAGATATCTCTAAAGGAACATTTCTAAATGAAGAGGCATTATCCGAGATAAACTTTCAGACTCTAACATAGGCAGACATCTACAAGCATGTGAAAAATGTTTTGCCCAAATACTCTCAGATACTCATTATCTATTACACAACGAAGTTTTGAAAGCTGCATCCACATCATTCACACGCTCAAGATTCAAACTTTTATTTTCACGTGCCTCTTCGAAATTCTGTTTTGCTATATCTCGCACGTCTACTTGTTGACGAGACGCAAGTTTCCACAGAACTATGAAATTGCTTGCTTCATTGACAAAGCCGCTAACTACTGTATTCGGTTTCATTTTGTATGACTTTTTAAATTTGCATCCACAAATACGGTGCAAAATGCTGAAAATACACCCAGGCGGGTGCATAAAGCTACTACCGGTTTAACTTGATTGGCAGTCTCATGCACCCAATGAGACACGCGGACAGGGCAGCACCTTAATGGCTGGCGACTGCCTGTCATGAGCGGGCAGTGGCTCTCCAATGAAAGGAGAGGAATATTTTCACCATCGAGAGGAAGCCCTAGGTATCTCAATCCTACGTCCACCTGCGGTTCTTCTACCAACAAAATGCTCCTTTTCTGGAGTGACTGCTCCAGGCGCGAGAATGGTTAGACCCAGGTGTCCAATAAGCTTGCCTTGTGATGCTGAACTTGGTCAGGTCTCTACCTATGACCCTTCAGGCATAATTGGATTTACAGTTGTGAGAAGCCATCCTGTATAGCTCTTGGGGTCGTGGAGTTTCGCAAGTCCTCGCACCACGTAAAGGTGTAGTCTCGTCGTGATAGGTAGAAAACTGAACTGAAACAAGGTATGTTACAGTGAACATGGGTTCCGGTTAGGTTATTGTCGCAAATTTGGTGGTAAGCAGCTTTGCTGTCGTCCGGTTTAACACCATGCCTAATCCAGAGAGGCCTTTTGTGGTTCGCCACTCCAAGTCTCAGGGCTTATGCTACCGCTTTCAATCCCTGAACTGCAGGTCTACGTGACTATGGGGTTTATCCCGTCTGCAGTTTATCACACTAAGGTGTGCAATAAAAAAACAGTTTCTTTGCTATAGCAGTGCGAACAGTGCAGTTGTATGATACAATGGCGTTATCCTTATCCGCGGGACGTTATTGCAGACTAGTTGGGTTCGATCATTCGTTTCCGCAACGCAGTGCGCGTTTCGTGAAACAACTAAACGAGTGACGCTGAGGACAAACGACGAATGCTAGCCTACTGTAGGTGCGCACAGACGCGGTTAAATTATTTGCATGAACAGTTGTGGCTGAGGCACATACAACTCATGTCACCGAGTACGTTTTCTTGACGTATATACGCCGAGACGGACAGTAGTCAGATTGTCGTCTAATGTCGGATTTATGGAAATATTAACAAGTTCATTAGGTAGTATCAAGTTTTTTGGTTGGAGTCTTTCGATGAACCAAATCGATAACGGAGAACATATGTCAGTATGCTCTGAGGTCGTAGATAGTGCAGGGAGCTTGTAACAAACATGCTTCGATATTTTTTATCGCGCAGTAACTGGAGTTTGTATAAGTGAAAAATCTAGACTACGAAGGTTTCAATAAAAACATATGTACAATAAGTTCAGTTTGTTATTGGGATACCTAGGGATCTGGCGTCGGTAACCAGGTAGAACAAAAAGTGGATGGGTGGGTGTTCCTTAAGACAGCTGCCCTGATAAAGTTGTCTGAAACCCAATTGTGAAGTATTTAAAAAAAAATAGACACTTTGTGAGGGTAAACCGAAGGTCTGGTCCTTCAACTAAAGGGGAAACGTTAGGAGGATAGACAGAGACTGGGAAACCTAACAGGAACAATGAGGCCGTTGCCCCACGATGGGCTATGGTGAGTGCATCTTGATCTTGGTACAACCCTAAGCCTTCTGGATCTCATCAATCGGTAACACCTAAATCCCAATGCATCAATATAAATAAATGACTACAAGTCGTTAACTCCAGGATAAACCAATGGAGGACGGATTATCACAAGAATGTCTAACATTTCCACAGAAGTGACATCAGAAAAATTAACACGTACAGTCAAGTCGTATTCGCCACAACCGTCACGAAGCGGCCAGTGTATACCATCACCAACCGCACGTCCAGACCACGTCAAAACCTAGAGGGGAAAAAAACATTGAGATGTTTAAACCACCATTGCCACATAGTCACCAACCTCGTCAGTACTTCCATGGACTGGATCAAGTAAATCTCGGTCTGGAGGTGGGGGCACGTAAAATATAGGGAAATGAGGGTAAAGATTGACGGTACAACGTGATCTGAATCGGTGTTAACAGTGACCCGCATTTAAACGTTTGGTTTTTATGGGCGAGTTTAAACAGGAATATATGAGTAAATGTCAATGAACAGGTTTACAAAAATAACGCAATATATTTATCCAAGACATTATAATACTGGTCCAAGAAAAATTATTATTAGCGTGCGATAGAATACCACATCTATAATTGACTCCCAACCCGAAATTTCGCCTTTGGAAATCCAGCTGGGACGGAAGAATTGTATGCATCACAGATGAGTCCCCAAAAAGGACGAAACAGCTGTCCAGATCACTTTGTTGATTATCGCATACAAATGCTGTCACATTACGAAAACGTTGTGACACTTAGAACACCGTGAATTGCTCGGTGACTACCAATATGGTTTCCGCTGCCAATGGCAATCTGTCGACATACAAGATAAACACACTGGGTCTTCCACTGACCACTGCGGCGAGTTACATTAGGTCTACCACGATATCACCAATCTCAATCAATCTCAGCTTGTGTTGCCGTCATTTGGAGGGCAATCCCGATGAATTCCGGCAAGCCTAAGGTTTCACTGTCATAAACGACGTTTTATCCAAAACTCTTGATCTTATTCATGCTGTTTGCGATGCTGCCACCGTACACTGTTTTTCCTTACAATACTTCTCGTACTTCACTGCTTCTGATCTATTGTCTGTGTGTTTTACTCCATTCGGACCTGAGTTCAATTGCTACTTGGGGCACTAACAGTTGATTATGATTTGATCCTAGTCTGACCTGAGATCTACTCGCATTCAGAACATTTTTACGCGACCAAAACATTTCACGTTCCATCGGCGAAACCTTTAATCAAACAATATTACTCTGCTAAAAAAGCTTCTCTCAAAGTATGTACTAATCATTTTTCTCTGCACCAGTCTCATTTGCTCGATGTGCTACTTCTAACTGATACTTTCAGGCAACTGTTGTCCAGTTCTCACAATAGAATATTAAAACCTTCAACGTCTTCGTCGTGAAAAGTAATGTGCAACCAAGTTTGGTAGGAGAAAGGATGTGCAAAGACCATCGTTTTCGATCAAAAGTAAAATAAGACCATTGAATTTCCTTTCTACAAACCACCCTTTTGGGACGCTTGACAGTAAACCTATGTAGCACACGAAAAAATAAACAGTTCTCCTATAAACATGAAACCATAAAATGCTGTCTTTATTCGCTTTTTTCTGACACTCCCAGATGGTATTGACTCGAGTTCTTCAAACACCCCCTCTTGGTTTGAACCCATCATTTCTGGTGACACACGGGTTCTCTCAACATGCCAACCTAAATCCCATACTTAAGCGTGATACATAGTCATTATCGTCCATTGTTGCACACGCAGCAAATCTTTCATTGGAACTCCAAACCATTCCACTTGGTGAGAATCATGTCCATCCTTAAAGGAACAACACTGGCCCCTACTCTGAAACGTTACAAGCCAATAGCTCTCACTTAGACTGGTTCGAAATTTATGGATCGTTCGGTTATACAACACCTTCAACTGACCCTCACCATCCCCGACGACATCCATCGATTTGCGTACAAGAAAAACAGATGAACACTGGATACAGTTTCTAACATGATGTTTTAACGATAAAGTCAAATATGTGTATCGTGCTTTTCCTTGAGTAATTCTCAGCTTTTGTGTCTCCTTCTTGTTTAATTAACAAGCAGTTATCCGGCTTTTACTTTTTTCTTCATGAATGACTTGGAGACTACTAATCACAACGATATCAGTATGCTGAATTTGAAAAAGACAGTCCGGGGGGCCACTTATTAATTTAAGTGTACTTCGCCCCATCTTTTTACGACTTACATCAGTGACTCACGCGTTACTCTCCCCGTACACTATTTCAGGTATGCTGCTGACATCACCATTTCTATTTTCATACTTAATCAGTCGGAACTGGTAGCATACAACACAAAAATACCCTTCCTCGTTATTTATTCCACAGCTTTAACCTGAGAAATGCATTGCATGTGTTTTTACTTCAAACCATTCCCAGGTCTTCTTTGGACAGTGAACAAATTAAGGGAAGGCCGATGAACAGGGTCAGCCATGTTAAACACTTAGGTGTCCCTCTTGAAAGTAACATTCGCTGTTGCTCACAAGTTGAAAGGTCTCTTCTTGTAGATAAGAAGATTACGTCAATCCTGCTCAGTCGCTGATAGGAGCGTTTGCCCAACAATGTTTCTCCCTCTGGCCCTTTACTCTTCTGTGATTTTCCCTGGTTTGCTAAAGACTGATTTCAAGCAGCTGAGGTGTGACCAAAAAATGAACAGCCCTGTTCGGTTATCTGTCCTGATAAACAACATCTTGACGGACATTTTGATGCATGCTCGAAGTTTCCAAACACAATTTGATTGACAGTACCCAAAACTATTCTTTTTACAAAGATTATTGTACCGTGACTTTTTCGGCACACAGTCTGGCCTCAGACAATAACCACCCTATACACAACGACCTGTACGCATGCAAATCACATCCCTCCACCCAATCCAAATATGGACTAATTTCATCTCGCACACCCACGTACAGAATCATCTTGATGTCTTATCTGGTCCAGATACTGACTGTCAACGAAAGTTTGTTCGCATCTTTTCCATACACTTGGCAGTTATGTCATATTTCTGCGTGCTCCATGTCGCACTTTTGAATCTTTTTTGCCAGCACCGCAAGGGTGATTCCATTTTGACCGACAGCTTTTGTATAACTCGCTAAAGCTTGCAAAACAAACGATAGGGAAAACACCATTATTTCCTATGAAAGTAACTAGTTCCCTTCGACCAGGGCAACCGGGAAGTAACATGCCCACACAACCTATGAACACATTTTTCAAACTTCTTTCTGTTCATATGCTGTGGCACATTTGCCAGTTCTCTGTAATTGGTTGAGTTGGATAAATAAATAAATAACCAATTCCCTTTTGTTTTCCTTATTTTCTTAATTATTTTTTAAGAATTTAGATTTTCGAATTTTTACGCTGGAACAGTCTCAGACCACACCACTTGCCATATTCGATTCATTCCTTCGTGGCTCTGTACTTTCGAGCTCATTTTGAAGGTCATTGTTGGCCGGCCCCAAAACTGTCTATGGACAGACGAGTTGTCCGCAGTCTCCGCCTTCTGGGTCCAGCCACAAATACATCCTCGCCTGAAGGCCTGTCTTCCGTCTTGTCTCTGGCTTGGTTCGGGGATCGTACTACAACCGCGGGGCGTTCTCCCGGCTCTCTAGGGAATTGCACTGGGTACCGCAGTCGGGCGTATTCGTGTACTGTTCACTCGGTCGCTGGGCCCTTAGGGTTTTTGTTCGTGGGCAGTACTACCGCATGTATCGTTTGGGTCACGGTTTAGATTAGTCCGGTAGTATCGTCTATCCCAACGTTACAACAAGTAGTACACCTTTCGCGCACGGAGCATCTTTTCATCTCTTCTCAATTTGTCACACTTTACCGGACCCAAACTGGCGTCATTACGAAATGTAGCCACGCCCTTACTTTGAAGTTCTGGACTGTGTTAAGCTTAAAACCACTCGGCTGATCGTTGATCCGTCCCTGGTTCCTCTTCCACTGTTAACGATTCACGAGCAATAAGTCACCCTTACTAGAAGATACTAAAAATTTGTCGAACAACGACGTTGAAATCCTTTGAAAACCAAGAAACAAGGAATTGTAGAACACTCTTTCTTAATTTGCTTTTCCCTCCTGGTAAAGCTGTGACGCGTAGTCAGTCAGGACGAAAGGACGTTCTGAGCAGATCGATTCATTGGACTGAGATTTGTAATTTTAGAAAACAAAGCACGAAACAATTTAAGGCAGAATAAAGTCCGCGCAATGCTTAGGAGGTTACTCACTGCTACACCGAGAGTGCTCGAAGTAACGATACATTGCACCCATAATTCCTTCGCTGAATTTTGCCATTATTCTCAGAATATACACATGCGCGGAAACAGACAAGCGTATGAACCCAGCTTCCAGCTGAGGTTCGTTCTACATCGTAGTCTTTAGGAGCTGGATTATTTCTGATAGTCGGTCTTTAATGGTTTCCAAAACCTTTTTGATAGAATGAAAGTACCTTCTGGCCGTTGGAATCCAACTCGGCGCTAATCAGTAAGTGGAAACTAAAACCCTATAAACGAAAGCTAAAATCCACCAAAAAACTCAATACGCAAAATAAAGTTTTGAAATTCGGCAAGTAAACATCCATCTGAGCACACTCGTCGTTAGACAGCTCACCTGTAACACATTATTCGTTCGACCTAAGTCGTACGGATAGACGAATGGTTTTGCTCCAGTGTCAGATCGCCAGTGATCGGCCTACCAAATAACAAAAAAACATGTGATGCAAAGGAAAATATATTACCACGTATGTTATTAACACGGAACAATTGATGGCAAATTTAGTGGAAAAAAACAGCAGGGCACACCGAAACAAGGGGGGGGGGAGCAACTCTTCACTCGATCATTTGAACAGTAATGAGATACTGGACGAAATTAGATCAGTTAGGGGTTTTCGAATTTGACCCCGTTGAATGCAACCCTCATTTTTAAGCAAGATGCATCCAATAAAGAGAAGGATTAACTGTGCGACGAAGAAAACCGGGTATCCCAGCTTTGAAAGTTCCTGCTCCTAACGGTTTTTGGTCAATGGCACTCATGTTGGAGCTTGTGATAATCATTTATGGAACTGTGACGAACGTAGCTGGGATCAAGCAGAAGCAAAGCATGGAATGTTTTTCTTTTTGTGATTTGTTTGACAGTCTGAACGCTACTTTTTTTACTGCGGCTGGCTTCTTTGAAAGGACAAGCCGGCTCCGGACAACATTAGGATCAGGATCATGAAGTTCCATGGGAGTTTAGTACGAGGAACGTCCCCAGCGTCACTTGACGTTTTTTATTCTGAGTACGCACCTCTAGCATTTGCACAAGGCGGCAGGAAGTAAGCCCTCGCCTTGGAAGTGAGGAGGTCAATGACTTTAGTTTTAGAAGGCCAGTCACATCGTCCATTGTCATTGGGCTTATGCGGCTTTTAAACAGGAGCCAGGTGACCAGTATGAAGCCCACCACACCCTGATAGTGCCACCGCTGTTTGTTTGCGACTGCTTATTTGTTGCGGTATGCCACAAAGTATTCATTAAGCTCAGGAGTTTCGTTAACTCCAAGGCTGAACCTCCATCCTTAAAACCCGATGGGGACAGCCTGCCCGGTCCGAAGCCTTATACCGTTTAACATAAATTATTTCCCGGGTAACCTCCATTTCAGATGGAGGAATGATGTCAACGGGCAATATCCACGCAGTTGAAGCAGGTAGGGGGAGGAGTCTTGTGCCGAAAGGTGCCAGCTGATCTGTGACCTGAACGCAAGACTGAAACACCTTGGACGTAGACACGACGTTTCACTGAAGTTGAAAGGCCGTGTATATGGTGCCACCGTTCGTTCAGTTCTGCTTCAGGGTTGTAAGACCTTGAATCTGCTAGTAGAAGATATCCATCGACTAGAAGTTTTCGATTATCGATGCTTACGTAGTTTAGCCCATGTAGGATGGACCGAACGGGTTAGTAATGCGGAGTTAAGTCGTCGTGTGGTTGGGAGTTTATCAGGGATAAATCTGTTAGCACACCGAATTCAAAGTAGTAGGCTTCGCCGGCTAAGGCACGTATCGCGTGTGGCTAGCTGTCGTCTGTCGCACCGCGCTTAATTCGCTGTATCTAATCCGGGCTGGAGGAAGCCAGGTGGAGGTCAACAGATGACGATGGGACGAGGCATGACGAAATGCACAGAACCATTAGGTAGAGTAGGTGTCTCGCGCCTTCCAGGTTGGGGTCCGAAAGAATCCACAACTGGTTAGTTGGAGACATTGAAGGATATGGCAGCGAACCGGCAGCAGTGGCGTTTTTGTTGTCCTTTCTTATCAGGTCCGAATGCTTGAAACTGTGTGTATGCAGAGTTCGATTGCGTACTCTGTGTTGACCATAGTGGCTCATCTTCTCCCTCCCTCAAAATAGATCCAATCCCTATCCACCTCAAATTTTGCCACCAACCCTGTATGCATTGCGAGTTTGGCAGCGATCAGTGAAGTTCGCTTCACTGTATTTCGCTGTACGGTGGTGTGGTGGTGACAAAGTATTCACAACTAACCTTCTTCGGTGAAGGTATCCCCTTATCCACAACCCGGGGACGCGCCTGGTAGCATTCAGCTCTGCTTAACCCGAGGGTATCCAGGAATCTGGTCTAAACTCAGACGTGTGTGGACTTAAAATATAAACAGTGACGATTATTCATGAGAACGGGAGGGTAGAAGTAAGATCATTTCGCTGCACTGTATGCATGAGTACTGCATTTGGGGTGTTTTTTATGTTCAGTGAAATAATATACGTGTGATAAAGACAAAATTGCTAATCAGGATGGACAGCACGACACAAAAGCACGAAATATGCGTAGAAGACTATTCAAAAGATGTAATTGGTCCTTTAAAAGAGGCACTGCAAGTGAACGGACAAGCAGTTGAACTCATCGCCAGACAACCTAAATCAACAATAAAAGTAGGGGGGCCAATAATTGGAAGCTTTTCTAGAGTAGTTGAACAAAGCCGATGACGTGAATCAATCAGATAGCAATCGGTTGAACTCTGCCTTCAAGTGCGTCTACTATGCAGTCGACCCGGTCGTTCTCTTCAATACCACTCGGATACCAACATCGGTTAAAAGTCACCGCTTCCCTAGGCTAAATCAAACTTCATTTATCAATTCAAGTGCGGATGATCGACCATCAACCGAGACAGGACACATAATCATCATCAGCCTCATCATCAAACAGCGCAATACAGTGAAGCGAACTTCAATGATCGCTGTCAAACTCGTAATACACATAAGGGAAGTTAGAATGTGTAAGGAGGATAGGGATTGCTCCTATTTTTAGGAGCGGGAAAAGAAAGCGAACCCCTGTCGTCAAAAAACATGGTAAACTGTTCATTCATACCGTTTCAAGCATTCTTGCTTGATAACAAATGACAAAAATGCGCCACTGCTGTCTGTTCGCTGTCATATCCTTCAGTGTCTCTAGCCATCCAGTTATGGAGTCTTTTGGACCTCAATGCGGAAGACGAAAGACACCTACTCGAACTAAGCGCTATGTAAATTTCTTCATGCCTCATCTGCACGTCATCTGTTGGCCTTCATGTGGCTTTCTCCAGTCTGCAGCGGTCACTGCAAATAAGGTGCGCTACGGTAAGCGACCGTCGGACATACGCAAAATGTGTCCTAACCAGCGGAGTCTATAGAGCTGAATTTGATGCACTAGCCAGTTCTTGCTTGGTGAATTCCCAAATACCCGATGACTTACATCTGGGTTACTAACCCGCTCAATCCACCCCACCTGGGCCAGACCACGTAAGCATTGATTTTCGAATACCATTAGGCGACGGATGTCTTCTGCCCGCAGCCAGGACTCAGAGGGGGTTACGTTACCGGATAGCTGAACATACCCCGGTGTGACGAAAGCGACGAACGAGAAGTCTGAAAATGTTACGTCCTCGACTGGGCAGAAAAGACTCAAACCTACTACGCAGCTTCTGTCTGAATCCAAAACACTTAGTCAGTCCATCCCATGCATTTCGGGCCATTTACAACGCAACAAACACAAAGCTATTGAGATCTGCTGAGGCTGTGACCATTCATAATCATAACCCCGTTCTATACTAATAGTGTGAATGGTTGGTGACATTGGCCTCACCTTGGTGATTAATCCCCACTTCCTTTCACTTTTTCGTTGTTGCGTCGTGTTGTCTCACCTCGACTGCACTATGTACATGTATAAATGCAGTAAAATGAGTGAGGATATAGCGTGTAAATCCAAGGTCCCTGACTTCTCTAAACCAAGTTGTGACGGGAAGCAATGTTAACAGTAAGGTCCATTGCATCCTTCAGGGAATGAAGTAAGGTAAGTTCTACGAAGGAGGTCAGAAAGATGGATCATTATCTGAATGATAAGGATATTTACGGTTCCCAGCGTCCATTACACATTCATTAACAATCATCAAGATCAGATCTTGTACGGATGCCAAGTGACACCGAAAGGTTGCCTGCTCCGAAGAAGTCCGTCTGACTTCATGCAAGAGAAACGCACGCTCAAACACGTTAAAAGGTGCCCTAAAATCCTAGTTTCTTTTGAAAAATAGTTTAGAAACAACCATGGTTGGAAGAATTAAGATAATTCTAATGCAAACGCAACATTAAGAAGAGCTTAGCAACTTGTAATGATTTTGTGCAGTGAGAAATTGGTGGGCACAATGGTAACGCGCACGCCTTCCACGCGTGGTGCTCGAAGTTTAAATCCCGATCCTTTTTTATATGCAATTGCGTGGTGAAAGTGGTGATCTCATTTTCACGAGGACCTGTTGTTCACTCTAAGCTCTGTGCCTCCGAATAGGCAACCGCATAAGACCTCACTAGAACGTGGGCGGTACTGAACCATTCGAAGGATAAGCTGCACCATTGATGACCTAAAACAAGGACGAAATTCACAGCTACTACTTCCACATTGCTTGGTCGACTGCATGAACTGTGAACGAAGATGAAGTCTCGAGAATGGTCAATTGTCCTTCAGTACTATCATATAAGATGGTCAATGAAATAAAAGCCAAAGTCAAGAAAAAAACATAGCTGATACATCAGTGACGATCAGAATAGTCAGATGAAAATATTCAAGGGCCTTCCGATCACCTTGTCACGATGGGCCATCAGCTTGTTGCTAGTGTCTTGGGTATCAAGCCAAAACTCACTTACCTTGGCCACAATCCACGATTCAATTCCCGTCTGATTTTTCCCAATAGCTAGGAGTTGATAGATAGCCAGAATACCGACCGCAATTGTCACACCGATGGCCAATCCCAGAGCAAACATGGCCAGAAACAGGTCGATTAGCGTTGAAGTGAAATAACTTATGGAGTGATGGAACAGAGCTAACGGAAGCTGACGTTCGAAAAGTGAGAGAGAAAATAAAAATTCATTTATTTTGTTTACACGAAGATTAATATAGAATTTAAATAAATGTTCATTGATTTAGCAAACATGATTCATGGACGGAATGGAGCTCGTTGGGGAGAAGTGGGTGTTGTGTTCGTGATTATTGACAAATTTCGATTGTGTTGGCCACTATAAACAGTTTCAGTTTTTGCAACCATGAACCATGGGCTTTCATGCACCGGTTTCGGTTGTTGTCTTTTGGTTGCCCCTTTGGATAAAACAGCAGAATGAAGATTGGAATGTTAGGAGCACTAATAACAAAAACCAGTTGACGTGTTGGTTTTGTTCGTTGCGGTTAAAACAAGTAAATTTAGTCAACATTTATTTGTTCTTCACGAAAGCAAGAAGCATCAAGATCACAGGATGTGATGAATTCAACTATTTTGAGGTAATCTCATCAGCCGAATTCAACATATCCGGTGATCATGATGTGTCTTATTGCTTTCATCAAACTGTCAAAGGGAACTGGTTGCATGAAACTCATTTATTTAACTAACGAAGTGAACAGAAGAGGAGAAACAGGTTGAAAACATTGGGCAAGAGGACGGTGTTGATGAAGGAAACATTGCGCTCATTTCGGCAACTGTATACTGAAAGAGGTTCAGTGAATGCGAGCGAAAACATCAATGGCATGAGAGCAATGCGGTACTACACTCAATTAATTACTTCGAGCCGTTACAACATTTTAAGCTCAGTACCAACCGGTGCTTCTTCCAAGAGGAAAAAAAGGAATTTCAAGGTACAGACATCGAGAAATTATTGCGCTCGTGGGCACCAGAGCTGAAAAGAGCAGAAGATTAATTATCATCAAATATTAGCTATTACGCGCATAAATGAACCTAAGTTATGCCAACATGTTAATGTCTCGCTATTTGGGTGCTTCAAAGTTCCCTCATGCGTTGAACGCTTTGGTCTTTAGCACAGACAGCAGTTTTCAGTAGAAAAGGGATTAAAACTGCAGTCACGAGAACTTCCGTTTATTATAATCGCGATTCCAATTCATGGAACTCATAATGACAAAACACATAGGACCGCAACAGGATGAGAGTGATTTTAGACCAAGTGACAACACAGCTATAAGCGGTCAATTTTCGGCAGTAGTGGTCGGGTTTGAAGCCTCGAACACTAGAACAACGTATATAAGTATTCAGCATCCGGCGTGGCGCTCTACGCGCTACTCAAATGAGCCTGATGAAATACTGACATCATTAATTCATCCGGGTTTGCATGAGTAGATTGGATTGGATCAACTTGTATTTTACACACGTTTGAGTCCAGATTGTGTGCTAAAAGAATCACGGTACAATAATCATTATCGGAAAAAGCTCCATGATTTGTATGTAGGGGGAATACTGCCAGATTGTCCAGGTCAAATCAAGTGAATCTTCTTGGAGAATTCACAATTCGAGCCTTGGGCTAGGAAGTAGATCGATGTGTGTACCCGGATCGGAACGAGGAATTTGAATTGCAACGCATTTCATATGATACTAGGGCTGAAGAGGTGACAAATAATGGATATAACCTGCAACAATTGAGAAATAGCAATCGCCCCTACTCCTATCATTCTTAGACTGAAACCACCAACACTCCGGAAAACAAATTTATCACACTCAAGTCAAAGTTCTTCTAAAACGTATAGCCAGATGATTTTATCGATAGTTGCATAAGAATCAAACGAAGGAGAAACCACAGTAAAAGCAAAAGCGGTTAATGACCTTGTGCCACAAGAGCGATACCGTTATAAAGAAAACGAGCAAACGAGTGGGAAAAGCAATGGAAAATACTACTTTTTCGGGGGAATCACGGATACACTAGTCCTCTAAATCAATTTTCTCCTTAACGACGGTAAAGGCAATTGTTTGCATTGACCAGTTCACCCACTCCTGTAGCATCACTAACGTTGGCAAATTATCCGAAAGAAAGTGACACCGTGGAAGGTGGGTGAGAGCAGGAATGTATATGTAGAAGGCATCACTAGGTTATGAGGGCATACTACTTCCCGGTTGATCAAATCAAAGAACTGTTGTCCGCTTATATACAATAATTCGTCGTTTTATTGCACCAATCAGGTGATTCCCAGTCACAGGAGTAAACTCCAGGAATCGAAACCCCTACTGAGGTGCAGGAGTCATTCTGCCCTATCTAGTCAAATATGGGGGTACGATCGGTAGATTAAAAACATCGATTATAATTGAAGGAAATGGAGATAAGACGTATAGGTAAAAAAAGCAATAAAGAGAAATAGTCCTCACAAAACGACCCCACTAAGTCGACTGAATGTGATGGAAAACATCCGTATTTCCAAGTTCTACAAACTACAATGATGAGCGATAGTTAGGTAAAAGTACTTCGATTTACATTTCAAATGAATCATTTAGTTACAGATAGAAGAGAACTAGCTGTCTTAATTGGAGTATAACAGAATCAAAAAAGTTTTCCCATTTTTGTTTACGGGTACAGTGCAATGCAGTTTCTCCACCAAGCAACTTTCACACAATGAAACACCAATGCACAAATTTTGGGGATATGAACCAAATAATAGGACTACTATGACAAAATGCAATACATTTTATCATGTCCGAAGGCATTTTCCCACACCTTCAGCATTCTGTTTGGCTCCTTACCGTCCCCGCCAATGTGATGGTTTGTATTCCACCATATTACCTTTGTAGTGACTACAATCGCAGCAAGCCTTTGGACTTTGACTTTCTCATCTCTGACTTTGAGAGATAGTTTCTTCAAATCCTCTGCCGAAGGGTAAGCGCTAGTAAATTCCCAGTCCCCATCTTTGATGATTTCTTCACCACTTCTGTACATACCAATCAGACCATTGACTGCCACAGCAAATGCTGCGAGAGCATAATCCCATTCCGCAAGGTACAACCACAAAGCGATGGGACTGTCGCTATTGTTTTTGTGTTTGTTTATTTACTACTAGTAAACTGTTTACTAGTAGTAAATAAACAAACACAAAAAACAATAGCGACAGTCCCATCGCTTTGTGGTTGTACCTTGCGGGTGCGCACCCCCTTCGCATAATGCATGAGCGCACTGCACCCATTCACGCGCATTACATTTTTCAACCTGTTGCGTAGGCTGACAATATTCAGTGTATGTATATGCTTATTTACTCTTACTCTGCAATGACCCAAAATCAATAAAAACTTCGTTGTCTTTCTTCCGTTATTACAGTACCTGAGGCTGGCCCATCGAGCACTGAAGCGATTGAAGACAACGATGAGGAACAGAAAGAGAACTAAACCACAGATTTTATCATATATTGTAAAGTTATTGTTCATATTTATTTTGATGTTCTTTTTGACAAGATTGCATGTTCTATCTCTATCAGATTTTATTTATTTCGATGCAGTAAACTTATTGTTCTTGACAAACGTATTCTTCCTAATAGTCGATCTAATTGTGATGCTGTGCATGGTGCATGGTGCTGAGTGGATGCCAATAGGGTAACGTGAATAAATGTCAACAGCAATAACAAAAGCTTATTTTCCATTTTTAGCTATCTGCGACATGCCAGCGAAGAGTCAACCTACGGAACAACAAGCCAAGACAAGTAAAGTGTTAAAATTATTTTATACTTTACTTTCACAGGACAAAGCAAGAGACGAGGCGGTCCTATTGCTAGCACATCTGCTGCGCATTTTGCTGACATAAGTGCTGCTTCATCAGATACATAATTGGATGTGGACAGGGAAAATAGGACGGCCAAGGAACCAAGAATGGAAACATCTACCATTACAAACGAGGATATTGATGCCTCAGAGGGATTCTCTGAGAAGGAGCGACAGACCCTTGCACCTCTCCACAACATGCATATAGTAGACTCAAGGCATAAAACAGGCATGGAAGATACAAAACGATTAATATTTGAGTTTCTCAGAGTCAAGGATGATGACGCAACATATGGCCTTCGTGCATCTAAAATCTTTGATTCGTACCCCAATGATTTGAAAGAAATTTTCAATAGATTAAAACTAACAGCTAAAGATTTGCCAGACATATCATTACATTCTTCATTCAACGGCCAGTATGAGCTTGTTGTGGCAGCAGGCGTGAACCAAGAACTGTCTGATGAGAAGATGTTGGTACCTGACTACCTGGCCAAACTTACTCCATCACTTGTTCCACTTTTCGTTGGTGCCCTCACAATGAGTGCCTTTACCAGCGGGCACAAGGAATGGGATTATGCTCTCGCAGCATTTGCTGTGGCAGTCAATGGTCTGATTGGTATGTACAGAAGTGGTGAAGAAATCATCAAAGATGGGGACTGGGAATTTACTAGCGCTTACCCTTCGGCAGAGGATTTGAAGAAACTATCTCTCAAAGTCAGAGATGAGAAAGTCAAAGTCCAAAGGCTTGCTGCGATTGTAGTCACTACAAAGATAATATGGTGGAATACAAACCATCACATTGGCGGGGACGGTAAGGAGCCAAACAGAATGCTGAAGGTGTGGGAAAATGCCTTTGGACAAGATTCAATAAACACTGACTTCTGTCATACAATAGGCCATTGGGCATCCACTCTCATTTGCATGAAAAAATTGAACATTTTATCATGTATCCTTTGTGTACATACATGCATATGTAATGTCCACCATTTTGATGCGAATTCCTGCCATTTGTCTGATGCAATCAGTATCGATTTATAAGCTGTGATGAAACAGATACACAACTCAGATGGATATAGACTGATCAATGTTCGGTATGCGTTTTGCACCTTCAAAGTGTAAAATGCTACTACAAGACTGAGTTGGTCTAGCACCCAGTCTCACTCTAACTGGGGAAGTAATAGAGCAAGTGGATAAGTTTTGTTATTTAGGCAGCTACATCTCACCCGGTGGACGCATCACGGATGAAGTGTCAGCTCGCATACAGAAGGCTCGGTTAGTATTTGCCAACTAGAGACATCTGTGGCGCCGTCGCGATATCCGGCTGTCTGTTAAGGGTCGAGTGTATGCTGCAGCAGTTCGGCCATCAAGAAAATAGGATAAAGATAGACTGTCGGTGTTTGAACATCGCTGTCTACGCAGCATTGCATGAATCTGGTGAGGCAGCCGGACGAGCGGTGCTGAGGTCAGGTGTAGAGTTTTAGGCAACCGCGGTCGTACACTGGAGCAAGTGGTCGACCTCCATAGATTACGTTGGTTGGGGTATGTGCAACACATGGCACTAGACAGGATGCCACGGCGAGCGATTTTGCCGAGGCAGGTAGTGGGTGGAAGAAAGTCAAGGGTGGTCAAGCTAAGACCTAGCATGAGGGTATGAAAACCCTAACCAGGAGTCTAGGTCATGTAGGCCCCGTTAGGCTCCCTGGCTGGGGACCTCGGGATGGTCGTAACTGATGGTTAGAGACACTGAGTGATATGGCTAGGTGTCGTAAACAGTGGCGTCCACTGAACTTTCAAATTTTCTCTCCGATCCTACTTCCAACCTTCCTGTTTTCCTCCCATTGTTCACCCAAATGGGCAGCCAAAAGACAGCAACCAAAAGCGTCGCATGAAAGTGCATGCTTAATGGTTGTTTAAACTGAGAATAAACTGAAATAGGCTGATCAAACTTGATCAGATCATGAAACGGAGATAAAAACTACGAAGATAACGGATGATGTTAAAAAAAATAGTATTCCTCGATTATTACAACTTATTTTAGTCGTAATGGCTTTAAATTTTCTAGAAAAATTGGTCTAGACTACAAGTCCAGATACCAGTGAGTACGGGTAGGGAATCATTGATATTCAGGCCGGGTGATGAAATAGCAGCAATAGCAACAAACAACAACATACCAGCAACCAGTTGCGGTAGACAGTAAGTGCCAGCACAACTACACAAGTCATGCATCCCGCAGGAACCCACAGGAGGAACAGTATGAAATAGCCGTGATTCAAGTGGCCGCAGCATGTGTTAAGCCATGGGCAATGATGATCCATTTTCATCACACATCTCTGACAGGTACGACAATGATGAGAACGAGGAGGCTTGTATCCGTTGCAGAAGTTACAGAACTGTAGTTTGCTTTCCGCCTTCCGGTCGGACTGTGAAAAAGTGGGCAAATTAAAATTTCCAGTGGCGAAAACCAAATCATGAGCAACACAATACGGTATGTTGATCGAGATAAACGCAGAACGATATATTGGTGCACTGTAAGAACTAAAAGATTCAGGAATCATCCAGTTATAAGATACAACAACTTCAGCGGTGAGCCCTACAACTAGTCGTACCGTTTATGAGCGAATGCGAGATATAAATACACTTATTAATAATGATGAATTGTTGTTTTTTACGCCTGCGGTACTCGTTCCGTATGAAAAACTGCAAATTTCGCTACTGGGGCAACTACACTTTGCCGGATCATGGAGTTACCGCACACACAGAACACTACGTCAGTGTTTGCCAAACTGGGACACCTTTGTTGCTGTCGCGGCATTCGCATGGACCGTACTCTGAAGCTCTTCAGTCTGTTCTTTGGTACGGTGCAAAGGCATGACGTTTAGAAGAGAAGGATAAAAACAGATTATCGATGCTTGAACACAGCTGTCTACGTTGCATGAAACGAATCTGGTGGAATATCCGGATAAGCAATGTTGTGATCGTACAAAAGTATCCGGTAATTACGATCTTACACTGACGCAAGTGCTGACTATGAAACACTGCGATGAAGTACCGTGAATTGAACTTCACTGATTATTATCAGACCCATAATGCGCAAGAAGTACAAATGCATACGGTGGATGACGAGCTGAAAAGAAAGACAAACTCAAGGATCAACAAACAGAGTATATTGTAATTGTCTGAAAGATTCCCATCACAGCATTTACAACAAACACAGTTTGACGAAACATTTTTTTTTCAGTAATCCCTTCTCAAGCCGTTTACAGATTACATAGGTAACATTAGAAAACAGATCATACAATTAGACACATCACCAATCATGGATACTAGTTCATCATAGTCAACTGGCATTTGCCATTTGATTGGTTTAACTAAGTTACGGCATCAGGGTGGCTGGACGGCGGACACACTCGGGACCGATCGATTACGGGCCATGGAAGTTGGAGTGACTGAACCAAACGCTTTTGGGCGCAGAGGTCAGGGGTTCAACTTTCTTATCCCGATAGCTTCGGCTATTGCTAGGGTGCGCAGTTGAACACCCTTGCACTTGGTGTGGGGGACACAATAAACAACTCTGAAGGCGATGTCCGGTGTTGACCAAATGGGCTAGGATGGAGCTGTTTATTGAACCGGTCTATCCTAGTTTTAACCAGTGTGGGTGAAGCTCTTTGATCCGGGTAGATAGCTGTCGTGCCGTTCGACCAACATAAGATGCGCCAAATACGCATCTGAAAGAGTATACAACCATTGATGAGGTCAGCATCGACAGTTTATCCTTACTTTGAATGAGGATTATTGGAGTGCCACGAAACACGCGCCGTAACTTATAATCAGGGTTTTTGACCAAGATGAACTATAAGTGGTCCACCAACCAGGTTATAGCCCCGGATATCGGCTTTTCGTCTTCTCATTTTGGTAAGAAAACACCTCCGCCACAAGAAGGCAGTGAGTAGGGCTTTCTCCACAGAAGCTATCTGAGACACTTGGTCGTATGGGAGCATTTCGCGAGGTGCAAGGGTAGGGTGATCAGCCGCAACCATACTGAGGCATCTGGAGGACGCAACCCGGGAGGTCGGCGAACCACAGTGGAACAATCTGCGACAAAAGTGGAAAAGCTATTCAGATTTGGGAACAACGGCTTGATCGGTGGGTGGAGTACTTCAACGAACAGTTCAGCTGGACAGGCGCTAACCAGATTAGTTACTCTGGTGTAGCTGAGGCTCCGTGGGCAGTATCATCTGAACCTCCTACTGCAGCAAAAGTTCGATCTTGCATCCAATCCC